ACTGCTCTGTTTTTGTTCTTGTTTGAATTTGAGTATATGAAAATGGCGTCTCAGAGACACTTAAAGGATCTTTTACAAGAAGATCAAGAGCCATTTCAGCTTCAAAGTTACATCTCCGACCGTCGTTGTCAAATCAATCCACCGGTAACGCATTTACAAGTCAAGAAACGCAGACACATCTCTCAAAACGCGTCTGGACTTCCCTCGCGTTTCTGCCGCAACGCTTGTTTCTTCTCTCTACGTGAATCTCCTGACCCCAAGAAATCTCCACTCTTCGAACTCAAGTCGCCGAACCGTAACCAAAACGCGATTTTCGTCAATATACCAGCCAGAACCGCTTCGATTCTACTAGAAGCTGCGGTTAGGATACAGAAACAGTCTTCTTCCTCGTCGGAAAGTTCGAAAACGAGAACGCGAAACGCAGGAAACGCGTTTGGGATATTTGGTTCAATGTTGAAGAAGCTAACGCACCGCAAGAAACGCGAAAATAGCGGCGGTAGGGTTACTTCTTCTGTGAAGGATATGTTGAGATGGGAATCTCCGGTTGTTCGTAAAATAGTTACGAGAAAATCTAAACGCAAAGAAGAAACGCAGAAAACCGCGTCCGAAACGCAGTTTTCACGTAGGTCTAGTAGTGGTGTTTGGTCAGAGAGTGTTACAAACGGAGAATGCGATTTCGAAACGTCGATTAGTTGTAGCAGCGAATCGGACGGTTTAGATGAGTTTACGATGAACGGTCAAGATTTATCGGAAGATAAGCGTTTTTGTGAAAGCCCGTTTCATTTCGTTCTCCAAACAATGCCTTCTCCTTGCGGTTTCAAAACGCCGAATTTCTTGTCTCCTGCGGTTTCTCCAGGCCGCGATTGTCAAGAGGTTTGTATTCTTTTTTTTTTTCTCAAGTAATTATTAAATAATGATTACATTATTATTCATCATATTCGTTAGTTAAAAATCCGGAAAAAAAAACAGAAACATAATTGATTTACGTAATAATTTACTAATCATTTATAGTATTGGTGTTAAGGTTTGAAAATACAAAAACATGTAAATATATATAGATATTTTCCGAATATATGGTAATAATAAGTTAATGACTAGTTTGACTTTGAATTAGCGACAAAAGTTAGAACTATCATTGTAATTGACAAAAATACCCCCGAAAACTTATCACAGACTTCACAGTTGAAGACAAATGCATTGTTTCGTCTTTTCGAAAATGATCACAGCCTTTTGTGTTGTTGAAAACAAAACTGATCTTTGTCTCTGACATACAAATCTCTCTCTCAAGTTTTTGTTTTTTTGTCTGCAAATAAATTATTTAGCAATAGAGTCCAACAATTTGTCTTTGTCTGTGCGCAATTAAGCATATAATCTTGTCGTAATGATTCGATCTCAAGTACTAAAGAGTTTTTGTATTAAAAAC